GTCTGCTGCTGCTGTAGCATTGTCTGCTGCTGCTGTAGCACTGTCAGCTGCTGCTGCACTGTCAGCTGCTGCTGCTGCTGTAGCACTGTCAGCTGCTGCTGCTGCTGTAGCACTGTCAGCTGCTGCTGCTGCTGCTGCTGCTGTAGCACCGTTGTTGGTGTGGCTTATTGAGAATACCAAGAAACAATTAACCCCAGAGGGTTAGCCACCCAGGATAACCCAAAAAAGTCAGTGTCATCGAGGACTGTCTAACTTATTTCCATTGGGGTCCTTAATCTTGTCTCCCAGGATGCAACTCACACCAGTTGACTAACACTCAGGTGAACAGGGAAAAATGCCTGGAACTAGTGCTCATATTGGTGAATTTAAAGCCAGCAAAGGTTGGTTTGAGAGATTTAAGAATCGTAGTGGCATACACAGTGTGATAAGGCCTGTTCTGGAAGAAAATGCCAAACAGGACCTACAGTACTCAGGAGGAAAAGGCACTCCCAGGACACAGTGTCTCATCAGTCATTGCTGCATCTTCAATAAAGGTAAGTGTCATTTATTCTTCATTTAGTAGACTAGTACATGCACAATATATACTGTGCATGTACTACTCTACTATTGTGCATGTATCCTTCTCTTTGTGTGTGGGAAAATGTATATTTCATGTGGTAAAAATTTTTTTTCATACTTTTGGGTGTCTTGCACGGATTAATTTGATTTCCATTATTTCTTATGGGGAAAATTCATTCGCATAACGATAATTTCGCATAACAATGAGCTCTCAGGAACGGATTAATATCGTTATGCGGGGGTCCACTGTATATTCAGAGATACTGTAGCTTCAAGAGTTTTGGAAGACAAGGAAGGTACAGAGAGTTCCACATCGGAGATAGGAGGAGGAGGGCGAGTTAAGATCGGAGAGATGACGGAAGTTACCAAAGAGTGGAGGATGAGAGGTTAGAGTAAAGTTGGGAAGAAACTTAGGAAGGGACAGAAGAGGAAGAAGCTTGGGAGGGGGACAGAAGGGGAGGGAACTGTACGAGAGGGAGGATGACCCTCCACACCCATAACAGATACAGTAAGAGGTAAAGTACTTGGCAAAAAGACCAGGAAGGAAAAATGTTTGGGAAGTCTAAGTGAAGGAGGGGTAAAGGAGATTTGAAATTTGGGGAAGTAGAGAGGCAAAGGAAATGTGTAGTTGTGCGAGGTCTTGTAGACATAGATACATTCGAACGAGATGACTCGAGGACAGTTTGAGGTGAAGAGTTAGGGACCTCGGAGGCTAGGGCTGCAAAAGAGTTAGAAACAGAGGTGACTGTGGAAGTTGTGATCACAGAAGAGATTGTGGAAGTAGGTAACACCGAGGCTGGAGGGCATTTAGTAACTCGAGAATAAGAAAGTCACGGAAGTCTCTCTTTCAGGGGAAGATGAGAGAATGCCATGGCGTAAGTGAAGCCTTCTTTCTCTTTGAGACAGTGGATTTCTTGTTCTTTCAAGTAAACTTGGCAATGACTCACGAAATTGTGATGACACGATTGCAAACAAACCATACAATGGGTGGGGTTTGAACCCGTATCAGAGAGACTGGAGTTTTGAGACTCTCTGACGCCGGGTTCAAACCCCACCCATGGTATGGTTTGGTTTGGTTAAACTTGGCAATGATGAGAATAAGCTGGGCGAGCTTCATTACAATTAAGGCAAGAGGGAGGTAGGCTGCAAGATGTACAGTAGAGCCCCACTTACATGGCAGGTTAAGTTCCAGGCTACTGTTGGAAAGCAGACATCGCCGGAAAGCAGAACACATTTTTTCCACTTATAAATGCATATAAATGCCAGATAACAAGTTTACACTAACATATATTATGTTAGCAATAGAACTAGGCATTAAGAACAATTAAAAGTAAAATACACACACAGTACACTCATTACTTACCTTAAAATATTTGTAGTCTTAATGTTGGGTGAGAGGTGAGTCAACGAGATAAAAATGAATAAACGAGAGAAAAAGAACGAGTAAATGAGAGAGGACAGAGTCGCAGAGAGTGTAAAAAAGCAAATGAACGTGTCTGGTTATGGTTCATACACATTCATTTCCATGCTTGTGAAGCATATACCATAATACAAACACCTTACATTCTGTACAAGTAGTCTCCATGTTGGTAAAGTAATATAACGAGCAACACTCCCATTCTCAAGTAACACACCATTTTTAGAAGGAATGGAGCTCTGAGTGGAGGCACAAAAAGAACAGTTTTCTACAGTTACCGCCAGTAATACTATTGTGTCAGCATTTTCTTTGGTGTTGAACTATAGAAATCATTATTCTATTCGACACTCCGGCAAGCCAACTGGAAAAACATCTCATATTTATGTTAATTTATTCTATTTTGGGGTGTATGTATCATGTTTGTTATGTAGCATGTTTACTATATACAGTGGACCCCCGCATAACACTATTAATTCATTCCTGAGAGCTCAATGTTATGCGAAATTATCGTTATGCGAATTAATTTTCCCCATAAGAAATAATGGAAATCAAATTAATCCGTGCAAGACACCCAAAAGTATGAAAAAAAAAATTTTTTACCACATGAAATATTAATTTTAATACACACAAACTTAAGAAAACATGCACAGTTACATGACACTTACCTTTATTGAAAATGTGGTGATGATTGATGGGATGGGAGGAGGGTAGACTGGATGGTTTTAGTGTTTAGAAGGGGAATCCCCTTCCATTAGGACTTGAGGTGTCAAGTCCTTTTCCGGGGTTACTTCCCTTCTTCTTTTAATGCCACTAGGACCAGCTTCAGAGTCACTGGGCTTGTGTCGCACAACATATCTGTCCATAGAGGCCTGTACCTCTCGTTCCTTTATGACTTCCCTAAAGTGTTTCACAACAGTGTCAGTGTAATAGTCACCAGCACGGCTTGCAATAGCTGTGTGAGGGTGATCTTCATCAAAAAAGGTTTGCACTTTAAGCCACATTGCACAGATTTCCTTAATCTTTGAAGTAGGCAACTTCTTCAATTTCTCTCTCCCCTCCTCTGAAGCAGTTTCCTCAGGTGTGGCCTCTTGCTGTTGAAGTTGATCTAGCAGCTCATCAGTGGTTAGTTCTTCACTGGCCTCCTCCACCAACTCTTCCACATCCTCCTCACTAACCTCCAACCCTAAGGACTTTCCCAATGCCACAATTGATTCCTCAACTGGCATAGGATTCTCAGGGTTAGCCTCAAACCCTTCAAAATCCCTTTGGTCTAAACATTCTGGCCACAGTTTCTTCCAAGCAGAGTTCAAGGTCCTCTTAGTCACTCCCTCCCAAGCCTTACCTATAAGGTTTACACAATTGAGGATATTAAAGTGCTCTCTCCAAAACTCTCTTAGAGTCAGTTGAGTTTCTGGGGTCACTACAAAGCACCTTTCAAACAGAGCTTTTGTGTACAGTTTTTTGAAGTTTGCAATAACCTGCTGGTCCATGGGCTGCAGGAGAGGAGTGGTATTAGGAGGCAAAAACTTCACCTTAATGAAGCTCATGTCCCCACAAAGTCGCTCTGCCAAGTCTGTAGGATGACCAGGGGCATTGTCTAACACCATGAGGCACTTAAGGTCTAATTTCTTTTCAGTTAGGTAATTTTTCACAGTGGGGGCAAATGCTTGGTGTAACCAGTCATAGAAAAAGTCCCTAGTGGCCCATGCCTTATTGTTTGCCCTCCACAGCACACACAAATTAGCCTTGAGGATATTCTTTTGCCTGAATGCTCTGGGAGTTTCAGAGTGATACACTAATAAAGGCTTCACTTTGCAATCACCACTAGTATTGGCACACATGAGAAGAGTAAGCCTGTCTTTCATAGGCTTATGTCCTGGGAGTGCCTTTTCCTCCTGAGCAATGTAGGTCCTGCTTGGCAATTTCTTCCAAAACAGGCCTGTTTCGTCACAATTAAACACTTGTTCAGGTTTCAGTCCTTCACTGTCTATGTACTCCTTGAATTCATGCACATATTTTTCAGCTGCTTTTTGGTCCGAACTGGCAGCCTCACCATGCCTTATCACACTATGTATGCCACTACGCCTCTTAAATCTCTCAAACTAACTTTTGCTGGCCTTAAATTCACTCGCATCACCACTAGTTGCTGGCATTTTTCTAATTAAATCCTCGTGCAACTTCCTAGCCTTTTCACTTACGATCGCTTGAGAGATGCTATCGCCTGCTATCTGTTTTTCATTTATCCACACCAATAACAGTCTGTCAACATCTTCTATCACTTGCAATCTCTGTTTTGAAAGCACAGGTAAACCTTTGGCAAGAACAGCTTCCTTGATTGCCATTCTCTTGGACACAATAGAAGCGATGGTTGATTGGGGTTTACTATACAACCTGGCCAGCTTGGAGACATGCATTGCACTTTCATACTTAGCAATGATCTCTTTCTTCATCTCCATAGTAATTCTCACCCTTATTTCTGTAGGGTTGGCACTAGAAGCTTTCTTGGGGCCCATGGTCACTTATTTTTCAGGTGAAATCACTATAAAAAGGCTGTAATAATACGAAATGTTCCGATTGTATGCTTGAATGTTACCGCGGAGGCTGGCTTGTAAACAATGCCACTGGCAGAACAAGTGAGGCTGGCTCAGGCTGCATGGATGTGTCTCAGACGAATCGCGTTGAGCAAATGTTTTAGCACTATGCGAGGCAAAATTTTAGCGATAAAATGTATTGCTATGCGGATTTAACACTATGCGATGCCAACGTTATGCGGAGGTCCACTGTAATTTTGAAAAAAATATCATAGATGGATTAATCAGAATGTCTATATTAACGTAACATGTGATGTTGAATGCGCCTCAGTGATTATTATTGTTATTAATATTATCATTATTAACCCTTTCACTGTCGAGACCTCTGATCACAAACCTGCTCTGTGTCGAAAAATATTCGAAAAAAAGTACAGCATAAGTACAGTATAATTCAAGACAGCGAGTATATTCAAATAAGTTGTTTACAAACTCACCTGGGATCTCAAACATGAGATAAGAATAAAGACTGCCACCTCCATCAACTTTTAGTGTTTCACCAGAAATGTACGAAGCTCCGGGGGATAACAGGAAGCAAACTGCACTTGCCACCTTTAAAATAATTAGAGTTAAGGAAAATGTTAATACAGTATGCAAGTTTTTTCTCACATAGTATTTACCGAAAAAGTAAATAATTGATGTAAAATGTTTTCAATAGCTTTAGCTTCAATATTTATTCTACAAATGTAGCTGCTTAACAAGGAGAAATATTAGTCAAATATTCTTTTGGTTCTTCAACAAATTTTGCTTATTTTGCTAATTTTACTTATTTTGCTAATTTTGCTCTTCTTATCAAATACAGTGGACCCTCGGGTAACGATTTTAATCCGTTCCAGAGAGCCCTTAACCAATTTTATCATTAGCCGAATTAATTTTCCCCACAAGAAATAATGGAAATCCAATTAATCTGTTCCATACAGCCAAAAGTGTTAAAAAATATAATTTTTTACACGAAATATACATTTCCCTACAAAGAAAACAATGAGACATGTACAATAAATACATAAATACTAAAATAACACTTTCATTGAAGAGTATTGATGAGTGATGAGACAATGTTTTTCTTGACCACTGGGATTTTCAGAGTGATACACCAGTAAAGACTTCACTTTGCAATCCCCACTATCATTACAACAAAACATGAGAGTTAGTCTGTCTTTCATAGGCTTGTGTCCTGGGAGTGCCTTTTCCTCCTGAGTAATGTAGGTCCTGTTTGGCATTTTCTTCCAGAATAGGCTCGTACGTTGGTTTGAGTGCAGCCAGCAGTAACAGCCTGGTTGATCAGGCTCTGATCCACCAGGAGGCCTGGTCACAGACCGGGCCGCGGGGGCGTTGACCCCCGGAACTCTCTCCAGGTAAACTCCAGGCCTGTTACATTACAGTTGAACACTTGTTGGGGTTGGAATTTTTCAGCTTCGCCATGCCTTATCACACTGTGTATGCCACTATGATTCTTAAATCTCTCAAACCAACCTTTGCTGGCCTTAAATTCACCAATATGAGCACTAGTTCCAGGCATTTTGTTCTGTTCACCTGGGTGTTAGTTGACTGCTGTGGGTCGCATCCTGGGGGACAAGATTAAGGACCCCAATGGAAATAAGTTAGACAGTCCTCGATGATGCGCTGACTTTCTTGGGTTATTCTGGGTGGCTAACCCTCTGGGGTTAATTGTTTCTCGGTACATGTAATTGTTTCTCATTAAGCCTCACCAACAACATTCTCTCCACATCTTCGAGTAGTACAGCTGACGGTGGTGCAGCAGCAGCTGACCGTGGTACAGCAGCAGCTGACGGTGGTGCAGCAGCAACTGACCGTGATACGATAGTATTTCGATAGTATTTCTCACCCTTTTTACCACAGGGCTGGCACTAGAAGCTTTCTTTGGGCCCACGGTGGCTTATTTAGCAGTTACAAGCACTAAAAACACTGGAATAATACAAAATTTATCGGATGTATGCGTGCAACCATCCGCCCTGGCTTGTAAACAATGGCACACTAGCTGAAGGCAGGGCAGCTGAGGCGCTCAGGCCGGATGGACAGGAGGATGCGTTTGGGACAAATGTCCCTAACCGAGTTTTTCATCGTTGGCCGAGCCAGTGTTTTTACGCAAAGACACATCAATATCCAATTTTATCGCTAGCCGATGTCATCGTTACCCAAGGGGTCACTTAAGTACACAACTCCTATCAGTGATACCCTGAGTTTTGTACAGCTCCCAACTTGAACAATTATGTAAATGTATTTTTGGGGGTCTGAAACGGACTAATTTACGTTATTTACGTTAATTGACATTATTCCTTATCTGAGTAAATTCATTCAGTAACAGTACTCGAACCAGTCTTCTGGAACGAGTATTATGTATGAAATGGGTAGGTACCATGTATACTTTTCCATTAACAATTACTGTGTGCTAAGATGATTTCTATCCTCTAAAAGCAGTGTATTATCTTTTAACCAAGCTTACTTTAACCAGTTATTTAACAAGCTTACTTTAAGGTTGCTTACTTTAGGAAGCTTACTTTAAGCAAGCTACTTTAACCAGCTTACTTAAACCAACTTACTTTAACCAAGTTTATTTAACCAAGTTTACTTTAACACATGGTTACTTTAACCAAGCTTACTTTGTAAAATCACTGCCTCTAGTTCAATATTACAAACTTGTACTTAGTACATTTTATTTTTTAAACCCTTTTACTTACTCGTTTATTTACAGGGGCCCCCTCGGGTGCTGAATTTAAGCTGAGGGAATGTACTCATCTTTTGTAAAAGGTTATACTGTCTTAAAATTTGTCAGTGAAAATATTTTAAACCCAATGGAGGGCCCAAACTTCACAATAAAGATGCCCGATGTTGAAAATGTGTCAAATTTCATTTTTGGGAAAAGGGTTTCCCCATCACTAACCCGGCAAGGCGTTTTAACGCTGGGAAATATCCCCCACTTCACACCCTATTTTTGGCCCTTTCCCTTTTTTTTCCAGTCTCCCAAATTTCATAGTATTTTGTAGTACAGTGGCCCCCCATTTAAAACGATATTTTTTATTCCAAAGTTTTTTTCAGGTGCCTACGACTTTTTTTGTTCCATAAGGAATATTGTGAAGTGTTAGCCCCATTTCAGACCCCCAATATACAGTACAAAGCATTAAAATTGTTCATATTGGGAGGTGTCTTTTTAAGCGGGGGGCCCACTGTATTCCTTCAATTCGTCGACTGAAAAAAAAAACCGCCCATTTCCCTTTTTTCAACTACCAATAAAGTGGAAAAAATCAGCAATTTGGCCAATTTCACACTTTTCAAGAGATGCAATTTAAAAATAGGGTTCGAATAAAAATGTGATTTTTCCAGCACTAAAATTTTTTCTCATTCATTATCTTTTTCCCCCAGACCCCCTTTTAAATTAAGCTGTTTTTCCTTTTTTAAAGTTTTTTCATACAAAAAATGATTTTCTATTATGAGACCACTCATTATTTTAAAAAATTTTATAAATTGTCAACCCATTTATGTTTGCTCTTTAGATGGCCGGGACAGTGCGCATTTTTTCTTTTGAACCGGCAAAAAACAAAAACTTCTCTAATTTGAGCCAATTTTAAGTATTTTCAAACTGAAACCAATCAAAAAATTTATATTTTTCTGTAAAAACTTCATTCATAAATGAGACAAAAAATAAGAAACAACCATAGGAACCATATAAAATACACTGCAAACTCGGGTTTACACACAAAACACGGCCACCGTAATAGCCGAGTTTGGGAGACTGGAACAATAGAATGGGCCATATGAGGTACGAGGGTCTGACCTAAGAGTCGGTAAGATGGAGAAGGAAGAAGGATGCGTAGGGATGGAAACATAGAAAGGGGTTGGGATGATTGAGGAGGAGGGATAATAAAGGTGAGTGGCCCATCCACTCAGGGCAAGTTGTACAGGTTTACTGGAGGTGTTTATGTTGATGCACGAGGACTGCTGGGAACAGCTGTGTACTGCGGAAGGCAGGCAGAAGATGGCAGGAAGGGCAGAGATGACAGCTAAATCAGGGTATCAATTGGAGCCACACCCCAGCTTTAGCTAAATAGCAAAGTGCTGGGGGACTTCAGCATGGCAGTGGATTCATTGGGGAGCTATTTGTGCAACTGGGCCATTGCAGAGTATTGAACTTTGTTCTTGTGAGGTGCTGCACTCTGACTGGAGTTGTGGGGTCCGGTCTAGAAGTGTTGAGGTGGTGTCTAGGGTACTGGGTGGATCGTCGTGACAGGAGAACTTGGCAGACCCATCCTGGAGTTGCTGGACAAGTTCTTGGCGAGGCACTGAATTATGCTGTTTCGTGGTGTAGAACGTGACACCATTGTAGGTAAGCTTGCCATTGTAGGTGGGATTGGTGATTGGTTGAGAGTGAGAGTGGAGGGAGAGGTTGGTGGTGGTCTCTCATTGTTGGGATCTGGTGGCAATTTGATGGCCTCTGATTGGTTTGTCTCCATGTCAGGAGGTGGTGGTGATGGAGCAGTGGCGATGTTGACAGTATTCATGGCAGACTTCATGATGTCAGTCGAAGGTGGAGGTGCAGGGAATGTAAAGCTGGGCATGTTGTTGAGTTTGAAGAGTTCATTGATGGTGGTGTTGAATGATCCAGGTGCAGCTACATTGTGTACATGGGCGTACATAATACAGTAGAGAATTTTGGTGGGGTCGTTAGCGGGAGGTGGTGGTGATGCAATACTGGTGGAGGACGCAGCTTGGGTGGATTGGAGAATCTTAGTGGTATCTGCTTGAAGTTTTGTAATAGCATATGTAGTAGATTGAGCAGTGGTTTTCTTGTGTTGGTCTAGTTGTCATGTCCTTTGGTGCTGCAGGTAGAGCAGAATTTCAGCAGAATGGGCCATAAATAGGGCATAAATTGGGTTAAATTGCCAAAGCATAAATATCACCATTGGGTTAAGTGTATTCTAACCTAACCATGTGGGTAGTGGGGAAGGCAGTGTGGGTAGTGGGGAAGGCAGCGTCGGTGGTGGGGAAGGCAGGGTGCGTTTGTGTAAACATAGCAACATACCTAGGAGAACCCCAAAAAAGTCAGAAAAAGTGACTTATTTCCATGTCGGTGGTGGGGAAGATAGTGTGAGTAGTGGGGAAGATGGTGTGGGTAATTGGTGGTGGTGTTGGTTGTGTACTGCGTCACTGTGGCACCAGCCACACCGCCGACTCAGCACATTTACAACAAATGCCACTCACATACAAGAAGAAGCTTCCAGTAGCTGTAGCAGTTCTAAGAACGTGTCCAGTGACTACACGCATATGTGTATATATGCAGTGGACCCCCGCCTTACGATATTATTTCATTCCAGAGGTCTGTTCGGGTGCCGTTATAGACCGAATTTGTTCCCATAAGGAATATTGTGAATTAGATTAGTCCGTTTCAGACCCACAAAAATACATGTACAAAAACACTTACAAAAATACACTTACATTATTGATCGAGTTGGGAGCTGATTGTAAGGCGGGGGTCCACTGTATTACAGAACAATAGTAATAAACAACTTTTTTTATTGATGGCTTGTGTAAACAGG